TTTGAAGACTATTTGATGCCTGTTTGATGAGTTTTTGAAGACTGTTTTTCTGAAGAGATGTGAGCCTTTCCAGTTTCCGCGAAGTTCCCAAGTCACACCCTCGACTTTTGAGGATTGGTCAGATTTGAAGTAAGGGAGTTGACTCTGAATCCGCTACTTCCAATCATTTTACTCTAGAGGCAGTTTTTTTCTTTCATGACCTAACGTAACTTTTGAAAGGTAATGATGTATGCTGGCCATAGCGTCCCCTCCTGGCACGCCTACGTGTGACTTAAGACTAGCAGAAACTGTCAAGAGTCAAATTTCCAAAGTGAGTCACCGAGCGACTCTGGAACCAAAATTCCAGGAAATGCTGAACTAAATCACCAGGGGGCCATCTGGAGTTGTTGTGTGTGTGGTCCATCTGTGAAACAGGCAGCTTCGTGTGTGCAAGAGGTGGGCTATGTCACACTCTGCGTAATTATTATAAAATATTGAGAATAACTCTCAATAAAACACCATTTAGGCTTGTGGGCGGTTATACCTCTTTCGATTGATCAGTACAAAATTCGCGTCGAAGCGATTGCTGATAATTTAAATAGGTCTGAAATGAATGAACGCATTAAAATGAACTCATATATAACGAGAAGTGCCATGTATGACGTGCTGAAATACGGTTCGGAGTTGTGGTACTCCTGGGTATGAAGTTTATCGAACATTCGGAAGAAATGGTGGTCGATCTTCCTGCTCAAAGCCTGTCGTTAAATGTATCAGGACTTGCATTGTTTACTTGTGAAAATTATAAATTGTGGTAGACTGTGCAAAGAATTGCATTCGCGAAATTAAAGTTGACATTTCTGTGTTGGCAGAATCGCCCGCCGGATGCATTCTTTGCCGTTATCCTATAAGCACGGTTTATTTTAGGAGCCGTATCAGCGATAGGCGCCCCTATGAAATCAATCCTTCCGCCCTCCCATCCTGAGCATGAGATGTTGGCCGTCATGTGAGGATTTAACTCCGACATCTGGTTCGCTCACTAGCTGTTCATAAATAAGTTCGCCGTCGTAATGACCGTGGGTTTAAATATAGCATTTGGGGTGGTCTCACGTCTGAGTCGCGCTTTAAAACCAATGATGTCGCTGACCTAGAAGTTGGAAAACTGGGTTTCGGGACGTCGATATAGACTATTGCACGACTTCCGTTGCCTTTTTGACTTACCTTGAATTACTGTCCATACATCTCGTACCCTTTGCGCCATATTTTAAGTTGGCAGTGGACTGAATATTGTGAAGAGTTAGGAGGGAGGAAAGGGATACCATAATGGAGTAATGTAGTTTCAATATTAATTTTTTAAACTGCAGTGAGCCAACGGTCTAAATGTAACCACACTTGGAAACCCGCCACCGTTAAACACAACAAATAATTCGCCTTAAGAAACGTTAATTGTAAAGCCGTAGAGATCTATGAAGGCTGCACGCACATTATGCCATTGGAATCCACCCCTCCGTGTAATTTTTTATCAGTCGATAATACCAACATAGTACCCTCAAACATCTGAGGTCGTAACGACTTTTTCGCAAGTTAATGCTCTTCCTTGGAGGTTTGTGTGGTAGATTTCCAGACTTCCAAGAATACGCGAAATCTCTATTTTGTGTTTCATAAGGTGGAAATAACCAGTGAACACAAGGCAGATTTTGTAAGAAGATCGATCGTAAATATGCGTACACAATTTGTACCAGTAATTTTTTATGTGTGTTGACAATGAGAAGCATCACGGTGACTCGAAATAAGGATGTTTGACAACATACGGCACCTAAGAGTCAGTACTGACGAATACATGTATTAATTGGTAACGTCTGGTGGCCCGTATTCAGATTGGAACATTTATAGAAAGTATGCGCTTTAGTTCTCCTTAATCCTTTTTCACAGATAGAAAGCTGAACAATACGTATTTTGAAGAAAAAAAACTGCTATATGCTCATGATGGCTTGAAAAGACTAGAGATTTTCAGTAACTTTGTAAGTTATTTCTGAAAGAAGAAAACCAAACATTCAGTGTTCATGTGTCCCATTGTTGCCATTGGATGTCACGTCTCCGGGCAGAGTACGAGGGAGATGGTCTCCAGCTTGGAAGGGTGGCCACCAATATATGTGTATTGGATTCGCGGTTGCAGACAGCTTGACGTGAGGTAGACTCTAAACGGGGTTAAAATTCGACATTATTGAAATTATCTCTTTCTAACACACAGCAGAGTAGGTGCCACCCACCCACGCGTGCAAGGACAGAAGGAGATACAGGTTTCCAAATGCTGTGTTATTTAGAATGCCGGACTCAGTAATCCCGGCATTTTAAAGTAAAGTACCGGTGTACAGCGTTTGGTTACACCGAGTTTTGATATAAAAAGATCGGACTGCGGCATGTCATTATTTAGAATAATACGAATCTACGCGATATCAACTAATAAGGAGCCTTATAACATATTTATATATAACACGTGAATGTTTAGCCATTTATTACGTACACAGTGTCCGTAATGTCAAGAGAGACGCCGTCGTGTTGCACGTGCTGGAAACATGAATGAAACAGCAGTCGAAGAAGAAGCTTTTGTGCTTTCACTTCCGTAGTCGTTGAAGTTCACTGTGAGCGCAGTTTGTTGCTCTGCACACACGACTGATAATCCGATCCAATTATTTTAGCTCCTGTGTACTGTCTCAAGTGACTTCACGTTTCTGAGACACCAGGACCGAAAGATGCACGTGAGAGGTTCACATTTTATGCACCTTCACTAACGGAATCTGAGTTTTTGTTAGAAACATTATGTGCCCGCCGTTGTTTGCGCAATGAAGGTTCAAATTGTGCTCTGCCAAGGTAGCAAGCAGCCGTTAATGGCAGTGGATTTCCGTAGTCTGGACGTCCAGACAGCTTATAGGCGTTTTCGGGGATTCCGTTGACGTTTTATATTGGCGCAGCAGACCCCGCCATTGCAAAACAACGGGATTTAGATCAGCCATTAATTAATGTGACACGTGTTCGCCACAGCATCGTGAACAACACGGTGGGTAGGAGACCGTCTGCTATGTGTGCAGCAGTTACAAAATACATTATTTTTATGCAGTATTTACGACGTGATGTCGGAAATTTCCCAGACTATTTTAAATGCCTCAGTGAAAGAAAACGAGAGGGGAGGCCAAGGCCACACTTCAGCAAGTTTATTGCATCAGTCTGCCACGTGACACCGCGCTGTGAACACGCATTGTTTTTACACGAATGCTTTTTCGACTTCGTGTTTCGTTTTGTCTGATGGATGACAAAGTCGAGCAATGTGTCTGCATCAAGTTTTGCGTGAAGCTTGGTAAATCCACAACCGATACCCTTTAAGTGCTTTGTTAGGCCTTTGGGAAACATTCTTTAAGCTGGACAGCGGTTTTTGAATGGCATTCGCGTTTCAAGACCGATCGAGTGTCGGTTGAAGATGAACGTTCAGGGCGACCAAGCACCGGCAAAACGACAGGAAATGTTGAAAAAATTCGAGAACTTGTCAACGAATGCCGTCGCCAAACGGTACCTGAGCCCACAGACACCTTGATCTACGGAGTTTTCCAGATCATGAACGAAAAATTTTAACATGCGCCACATTGCACCATCACGACAACGCGCCCACCCACGCATCCCTGAAAATCAGAGTTTTTGACTAACAACAACATGGTTATAGTTACCCATCCTCCCTACTCGCTGGACTTAGCCCCCTGTGATTTCGCTTTGTTTCCCAAATTGAAATGAAACAGAAGGGATGACGTTTTGAAACAAGTGTCCTACATCCAAAGTGAATTGCAAGTGGTACTCTACAGCATTCAGGAAAATGGCTTCCACGGGACTTTTGAAGCATGAAAAAAAAAATGATAGAATCGCTATATACTTTCCCAAGGAGATGGCAGCCAAAATTGAGCAAGTGAAGCCAGAATTTCTTTTCTGTCCTAGTCTGGGAACTTTCTGGTACACCTCATACCATGGTGACTTCTTATGCTTCATTTTGGAGAGAACTTACCAGTTTCTCAGGTTCCTCAGTTACATATTCACTTTAAATGTTACATGTAAGGCGTTGGACACTTGTTTATTGTTTTTTTTCTCATTTTAATTAATTGCTTAAAATGGAGTATGTATATGAATAAAATAGTGCACTGCACTAGATGAAAGTCCTTTATCATGACATCTTGTGTTACAGGCATGTATTGACGATAATCTGGAAATGGTGGAGTTCTTAGTAGAAAATGGGGCAGATGTTAATAGGGGTGATAATGAGGGGTGGACACCCTTGCATGCTACTGCTTCCTGTGGTTTCATCAGCATTGCAAAGTAAGTAATACTTCTGCTGGATGCCTGCATAATACATAATTTGGCATTTGGGTCTCCTGGCAGGGCATTAAGCTGACTGCTCACCTCCACCTAGTACCAAAATAAAGCTGTTTCTTCACCTTCTCATACATCATCGTGATATGGTGCTTAATTAAGCACAAGAACACCTTTACCTTTGCTTTTACTTGTACAGGTTTTGTTAAGTAAAAAAAAGCAAACAAATTTAAATGAATTGTTTCATTTTTGGTCCGTTACACTAACAATCACAATGTTAATAGAAAGTCCGTCGAGTGTAACAATTTGTAGGTCACTTCTTTATCACTTCTGCCTTACATGTTTCGGTTAGACACAACCATCATCAGAGGCACTTAGTACAATTAAGAAAACACTGTCGTTGTTTAAGATATACACAGTTATGTTTGTTGTGTGGACACTGCTACAATATGTCGACGTGTAAAAGCACAACACTTGCTAGGATAGTTGAATGCACTATCAATTCTCACCTTCCATCCGAAACTGCCCTCAAGTTAAAACGCCAATGTTAAAATATTTAAAAAATTTTTAAAAAATTTAAAACATTTGATGTAAAATGTTAAGCTCCTCCTTGTTAATTTATCCCGAAGATGGGATACTACTACTACAGTACACAACACACAGCACACAGAAACATCTAACCAGAAGCCATACAACCTCAAGCTGACATCTCCCATCTTCGGGATAAATTAACAAGGAGGAGCTTAACATTTTACATCAAATGTTTTAAAAATTTTAAAAATTTTTAAAATGTTTTAACATTGGCGTTTTAACTTGAGGGCAGTTTCGGATGGAAGGTGAGAATTGATAGTGCATTCAACTATCCTAGCAAGTGTTGTGCTTTTACACGTCGACATATTGTAGCAGTGTCCACACAACAAACATAACTGTGTATATCTTAAACAACGACAGTGTTTTCTTAATTGTACTAAGTGCCTCTGATGATGGTTGTGTCTAACCGAAACATGTAAGGCAGAAGTGATAAAGAAGTGACCTACAAATTGTTACACTCGACGGACTTTCTATTAACATTGTGAAATTTAAATGCTTTATTTTCTGAATTCTGGTGCTTCCTTTCAACTTGTTGGAGAAAGAAAAGTAGGGAAGTATTGAATAAGATTTACACATCAATATAAAATTAATTTATAAAATAATTATTGGAATAAAATAGACGCTAAAAAGGTAAAGAATCGAAGCAACTATGATGGCACAACAAGCAGCTGGTTAAGGTACATGTTTGCAGTGTGATGTCACTTTCCAAAGATTATGGTTGTGGAGTAATGACTTCAACAGAAGGAAAATATAAATGTTTATCGTTGTTTCCATCACAGTCACACTGGATCAGTGTACATGTTCTGAAAGTTATAACATTTCTTACACCAAATACGTGTTATTTGCTAAATCAAAATTCACAGCATATGAAAAAAAAGTACATTGTTTATGCTTCAGATGGGACCAGAAAAGGTATTCATTAAATGTAGGAGTATTAGATTGGGGTTTCACAGTAACTCGAGTTTTCCAGTTGTTTGCCATTCAGTTTCAACCCACTGAGTGACTTCATTGTACACTAGGTACCAACCTGTGTACCATATTTATAAGAACGTGTTCCCCCCCCCCCACTATACCATCACAAATGTCTTACCTGCAATGGTGTAATCTGTGAAACACAGGTATAGGAATTGGATCAATGAAATTCAAAAACATTTATTTAAATTTAATATATTTTAATGTTGCCTAGCTGATTTCTAAAAATTCAGTTAATTTACCTCTATCGAAATAAACACCTATGTTGGATTTGAGGGTCTCGTGTTGATGGCTGTAAAGAGAGTACACATGTTCTTTTTTTTGGGGGGGGGGTAGTAGCAAGTCCAGTGGCAGTAACACTGATCAACAATGTTGCCAAGTTCACAGTGCATAAGAACTGACCACTAGAAATTTGATGAGGTTTATTATCAGTCCATACAGTTATGTGATCACACTAATTTCATACTTGTATATGTTATGTATTAGGTGTTGTATGTGAATTTTCAGGTACCTGATTGAGCATGGTGGCAATGTTGCAGCTGTTAACAATGATGCTGAACTGCCTCTTGATATTGCTGAATCAGACGAGATGGAAGATATGCTTCAGCAGAATATTAATGCACAAGGTAACGCGCCCGGGTGTTGCAATAATTAACTCTTGTTAAGTGAAAGTTAAGTGTGAAACTTTGACCGGTGTTACACCCTTGTTGATTACAAAATACATATTAAAACTGGCAGGAATATGTGGTTTCTGTAATGTTAATAATGTACGTAACATCAAACTAACTTGTGAGTGACNTTGATCATGGTAAGGATACAACTTTTCATCATGTAAAGTTCGCCACACCTGCATACGTGATCGCCGATGCGACAGGCCATTCTACGAGTGGACAGACGCAGACTTCTCTGAACCATCTCAAGAACGTTCTCTCGTGTGTTTATCATTTGTACATCCTCCCTTTCAGAGTGCACAGAAACACTCGGAAGAGAACCAGTATCATACAATGCCTGGTGAATTCACGTAAATACACTTCGACATGTAATCCTTCGATCGGGAAAACACCTTTGGTATTCTTCAACAGCAGCACGTGCATTGCCACCGCAAAATCGACACACAAAATGCATATCACAATATTCCACGTGTGAAAACACAAAAGGCATTTCAGCAACTCCGCACAATTAACCTACGACCCATTCACGACCTGGCCGCAACGTATACTGATGGGAGCTTACGGCTAGTGTGAATCACCACACTCAAGGACAAACATAGATAAAGCGTCTCAGCTGACAGGTATAATGCGTGGACCCGCCAGAAGACCACACTTTTCTCGGGGCATTATCTCCGTAACCGTTCAACTTTAGACATAGGTGTTTTGGGTTATATCGGCATACTTTAACATAAGGAACACCCTCCCGAAGTTTGGCACATTCCTCATGGGACACCCTGTTTACAACCACTGAACTGCAGTACTAATAAAATTGGATACAATAACATTAATTATATTAAAATACTTGGCGTAAAAATGCAATAAATTAGATTATATAAAACAAAAGTTGTAGTATAAAACAAGAGTAAAATTCTTCGATTGATGCTTTACATCATCGAGTCAGTCTTTAGTTTTTGTGATTTTGTTGCGTTCCCACAGACAAATTGGAGTATTCTGTACTGTGTGTATATATAATAAACTGTTATTGGAGGCTCGTGATGTAGATTTAGTAATATTAATGTTAATCTGAAAATGATAGGAAAGTAATAGTATTAAATTTTGTTATAATCAACAACTGATTTTGGTATTGAAGATATAGTGTATTATTTACTTACTGTTTAGTCGGTTCCTCATCTTACAAAGTATTGTCCGTTCTGTAAGGAATGTAAACAACGACTGATTTGGTAATGTAAGATTAAAGTCAATGCAATGTAAGGATGGAGGGGGAGGTAGAGATAAGGTGTATGCAGAAGAATTGTAAATGGCTAGGATGAGGTACTAACGGCTCAACTGTATGTATTTCTATCTGCCTAACAACATTGACCCTATGTACATTCAATAACTGAGAGAAGTAGTTCCTCCACCTATTCAAAATGTTGTGGGAATCTGCATGCAGATCACCATTCTCATTCTTCACTAAGTTACTGCTAGACTGGTAACCCTTCTTAAAGTCATTTATTCCTCCATACAGGTCTCTAATGTTCTTGGTCTTACTGTTCATTGCAAGCGTATCAATTTTGTCTTTCAGATGTTCCATCTTTTTGTTCCTGAATTGCTTGCTGGTTTCACATCTTATATTGTTCAGATTATCCCCATTTAACTTGCTTGGATCCTGTAACCATTGCAATTTGGCCTGCTTCCTTTGATCTGATAATTTTGAGCATCCTTCATCGAACCATGGCTTATGCTTCTTCGGTTCATACTAAGCTACACTCTCTTTGGCAGACATTTTTATATTCTCTCTAATAGTTTCCCAAGCTTTATTAACATCCACCTCAGTTTCCAAGTTTTCCAAAGCTGCAGACCTGTTTCAGATATCACCACAATACTGCTCTTTACCCTCTACCTCATTTAATTTCTTGAGATTGAACCTCTCCATATGAACTCTGTGTGTTGTTTGTTTGGTCACTGCCAGTCTTTCTGTAACCTTTGCCACCACCAGGTAGTGGTCAGTATTACAATCTGCTGCCCTGAATGATTGGACATCAGGTATACTTGAGTTCCGTCTCCTATCTATCAAAATATGGTCTATTTGATTGTGTATCTTCCCATCAGGAGATGTCCAAGTAAATTTATGGATGTTACAATGTGGGAACATTGTACTTTTGGCAGAAGGATTTTTTGATGTGGCAAAGTTTACTATTCTATCTCCATTATCACTACTAATTTCATCCAAACTCTAATTCCTAATCATTGGTTTAAAAATGTCTTCCCTCCCTACTTTGGCATTGAAATCTCATAACAGAATTTTCATATGGTACTTTGGGAATTTATCAAATACATGTTATAGTTCTTCATAGAAGCTATCCTTTATGTCATCAATTTTATCTTCTGTTGTGGCGTGAACATTCATAACAATGATATCACACCAGCAGCCTTTTAACCCTTCAGTACCGGGGGCTTTTAAATCGTTTTTCCACTCCAATGCCGGCGGCTATTTAAATAATTAAATCAGAGAATGCAGCACTTAACTTAATGCCTAATAAATCGGGAAAAACTGGAGTTTTGTTTTTCAGATGTTCACACAACATCCAGAGAAGTATATAGAATTAGAGTACTGATCCACACTACTTTAAAATTATTTTTTGGGCCAGTAAGCATATAAAAATTATGAACAATAGTAATGCATTACCTTAGAAATTCAGTCGTGTGTGGTAGTCGCGGAAACACTCAATGCAGAGCCCCACGCCGCACGCATCACACCAGTACACTGTGTCCCTCCTCCTCCCGCGCTTCTGACACACAACGCACTTCCTCTGTGGTCTGGATTTCTTTGCCGTTGGAGGAATCTTGCTGATAAAATGTCGTTCTGTTAGACGGGGCACTGTATTGTCTGATGGATGTGAACCCGGCACTTTATGTTCCACGACACTCGCATATTTCACGAACAGGCCCTCAATCAACTGAATTCTGAATGATAATTGCTGAATTCGTGTGCCTGTGTTATTCCTGTACACTATCATTGAATTCAGAATTGAGG